TACCTTCATTATGGAGCTCATTCATAGAGTCGGAAAAGCAATAAAGTACTAACTGTAAGTCTTCCACAATTCACCACGCGACGTTCCTGGGGAGAGAGGTTGATCACTCTTGGAAAATCCGTTGAGGGATTTCTCTGTTCGACGATGCGAATCAATTTAGGTTTAAGGGTCATTTCGCACTCGCACAGGTCGCCGCGGCGGTAGCCGGGTGCGCATGCCGTTCTTCCGCAACGATCAAACCTTGTGCTTGATATGCGATCGTGTCTCTTTCAGGTCCATCTCGGGTCGATCTTATACGGAAGCTGGATAAGACACCTCCCCACGGTCTCTGATAACTACCAAATCGTCTCTAAGAATAAACACTTTACTCTTTTACAAGGAAGGTCTTTCAGGACACGAAACGCTTTCCAGAAATGTTTTTCTGCATATGTAGGGGCTAATGCGAGGAATGCAGAACCGTAATCCTTTTTTTTTCTGAGCACCTCCAGATATGTCAAAACAGTGGTGGAGAAATGGTCTCGTTCCTTGGTGATGATTTTTTTGCAATATAGTTTGGTACCCCCGGATTGCCGTCAAATGGCGCCATCGTGGAGAATAAATGCCATCGTCGTGCTTTCCGGCAACTTGGAGGCGTCAACATTAGATTGCAAAAATTTGTCATCACTTAGGATCGAATTCTGGACTTTTCTTCCTCGCTGTTTTGACGTTCTTGGGGGCGTTCAGGAAAATCTACGGTGGTTCTGTGTTCCTCACGTTTACAGCATGCAGAAAACCAATTGAAAAAAAAAACGCTCCAGTCCTGGAAGACCTGTAAGTGAGCAATTGCTAAGCACCTAATGAGGCTTTCCCAAGGAATGAACACCTCGCACGTGCAATCATTTCATGCCCCTATGCCATTGTGTTTTGGAGAAGGTGGCAGGTGTACCGCCGTCTGTCACTGCGGTTATGTTTGCACACGATGTTTACGGCTGCTCAGGTCAACTGCACACTTTCATCAACTCCTATCTGCTCCATCTAGCTCACCAAGAGTGAATGGTGGTCTTCTATGGTTGCGACACGTTTGTTCCGGCATGTACCTTTCTCGACGGCATCAGCTGTCGTTGCCGTTCAAGAACAAGAGCGACTGCATAAACGAGACCAGTCGCACCCCGATCGTGTCGTTGCCCGCGCCCGCTTCACCCAACGGGGCTAATTGTGTTCACTTGACGTTTACGGCTGTGTGTCATCGTCGTTGTTGACTGAGCTGTCGGATGCTTCTTTGTTGTTGTTCTTGACATAATCATCACATCTGCGCTCTCTATCGACAGGTTACAGTTCAAGGACAGGTCACATTGTTCATTTAGCGCTGTTGTCGCGTTGTAGTTACACCCATCTCCTCTGGTCCTTTTTCATGATCTAATTAATCTCGTATGATTTTCCCATTACTGCTTATCCTAGCGCTCACTCATTTATATAAGTGAATAGTAAAAATAAAATAGGCACAGTTTCTGGTGCGCTACCGTTTCCAGGGCGTTCCCCGCCCCCTGTTATAAATGGAAATTTCTTTGCTAGTTGCTGCCGTCTCCGGTTTGGCCGCGTTGATCGCCGTCCCGGATTCGGCATGAAGAGGATGCAACTCGGGTCACTCGGTCGTGAACTCGATAGCCACGTTCTGGGTCTCATCGCGTGGCGCACTCCCTCCAAGGCTCTCTTCCTCCGTCCATTGTCAGTCCATGTCGACGTCTATGCGTTTCATCAGCTCTCTCGGCTATTCGCTAATTTTCAGCCGGTCTTGGACACGTTCCTTTTTCACCCACTTCTTCACTTGCTATCCTTGGCCACATAGAAATAGCAACAATTGGCGCCACTTCTCGAGAAGGGCCTTCGCGACTGCTTTTCAATTTCCGCCTCTGCAGAAGCTATTCTTCTCCTTTGCGTTAAATCAGCTGCCTGACTTTCATTTCGAAGAGCCGAGCTACCGCGCGCCTTCGACGAAACTGTGACCGTTTTGGTGTGCTCCCGGGATTGTTTGCCTCCCCTTTCTTCTCCCCGTCAACCAGCACTCCATTCCTCATAGCTGCTGTCTATTTTTGTTTCGAAAGCCCAGGGGCAAGTGCAGACTTGCGCTGCGATCCGCCTCTGCAAACGCCTGATGTTTGTTGAGCGCAACGAAAATAGCCACATGGACCTTCTTTCTGCATGAACCAGCCCTCCTCACTCCAACCGCAGCGAACAATACCACACGGTTAGTTCACCCTCCAGTTCATTGACCATGACCTCTTCAACTTCACCTTCTCGAGAGCCGGCTATGTTATGAGAACTGTTGAAGAATGCACTAGTTAGGAGAAAATATCACTTGCTTACCGCCCTTCTACCGGTATTTTTTTTCAAAAAAATTACTTATCATCCCAATGGAACTCTTTGCGCTTATTGTAAAGATGATGATCTCCCCTGATAGTTTTAGAGATAGATAGCTTTTTCAAAATAATTTGTTATAAGTATTCCTGCAACATATTACTGACCCTATTCTTGACGCTATCGCAAGATGGCGGGCGCAGACGGGGCACTGTGGTGAGAATGCATTTAAGGCCGCGCAAAATATTTCCTTTTCGTTGAAAACAGTACAAAGCCTTGAGGGAGGAGAGACCCCAGGGTGCGTGGGCGATCTTCACTTTCCGCTAAGTTCCTACCCCTACTAGGCTTACTGCTAGGGATGCCGCCGTACACTGCGATAGCGCCTTTTTTTGAAACATTAAGAAGTCACTCACATAAACACGATGACCTTTCTCGCGTTTTACATATTAGCACTTATTATTTACTGATGGTTTTCCCTTTCAACAATGACTGATCTCTCAACTGTGATGGATCCTCTTTATGACGACAGGTGTAACCCTCTCCCTGTTCCTTACCAGGCGCTATTGCAATGCGGAGGGGGGCATAGTGGTAGCAGTGAGGCCGCGTAAAACATCTACTTAACTACGGAAATGGGACTAAGTCTTAGGTGAAGAAGAAAATGCTCTAATTACCCGGGCATTTTTTTATTTCCCCGATGTTCCTGTTCCCTTATGGTTAGTCCTACATACAGGATGTCCCATATCTTGCGACAGCGCCCAAAACGAATAGATGTTACAAATCGAGGAAAAACAACTAGCGAGATGCGTAGGAATAAAACGGGTGACAATGGGTGATAGAATATACGCGTTTGAACGTTCAAGCTGTAACTAGGCTCCAGCAAGTAGGTAACCTACGACTTGATCGGATGCACAAGCTCAGGCAAAATGCCCCGTATATTGCAGTAGCGCGTACCAATAGTTCTTTTTTGTAAAGTCATTCAATCTGATCTGAAAAGCAGCTGTGAATAATCTCCTCTAGAAGATTATCTTCGAAAAGGTGGGAGCACAACTTCGATTTTTTCACTTTTTTCGTTTACCGCTTTTTTTTGAAAATTAACTCTATTTTCTTGAAGACGCTTTGTCGATCTATCTACTATTGAGTTACTTATTCATTCAACTAAGTCATTATTTGAATTCTCTACAATTCCCTACAAGAGCGTATCATTCCTTCATTCACTTCCGTGGATCGCTCAGCTTCTGTACAATGCGCTATTATATACCTATTTTCAACTTTTCGTTTACCATTTTACGTTTTTTGACCATCTCTCCGAAAATGGATACGGCCTTCTGCTCCACGATCCTCTCTTCGTTTGTTCTTTGATAGAAGCAGTCACACTTGAATCCTGTACAGTAGCATTTTAGGACGAACGAAGAATAAATCTGAAGTCTGATCTCCAGATCTGAAATTTTGTAAAAGACGCTGACGACCCTATTCGAACGGATCCAAGTCACATTTCCAAGCGCTATCACAAGAACGGGAGTATTGTGGTGGCAGTGCATTTGAAATTGCGTAAAACATGTCCATTTACAAAAACAGGACCAAGCTTAGGCGGGACTTAGAGACTCCAGGGTGCGTCAACCGTTTTCAATTTCCAATTCCGCCGATTTTATTGATTTTGACCGCTTTCTCATAATTAACGGTGATTTTATTGCTTTATTCTCAATATGCACCCTTTTGTATGTTTTCCCTTGTTCTCATTGTCTTCCTTTTCCTTCTCCGCTACATCCTTTTCGTTCATTCAGTACACACGAGTGATTTGGCCGGATGCAACCGTAACAGAAGCAGCAAGCCCTGTTGGTCCTAAATTCCTCGTGGCTGCCGTTCCCACACCCGGTCCACTGCACATCGGGTCTCGAAACTAGGTCAACTCAACGTTATAATGCGCTTTGCGCAGTTCGTTGTGTTGCAGCCGCTTATGGGCTTTTACACAATATGAAGTATGCACGTGACAATACATACTTGCTCCCATCTGCCAAGACTCGCAACTTTCATACCAGCCGTGTGGGAAACTGTTTGAATCTGACTTTTCAACAGTCCGGACGTGGTGCGAACAAGGACATGGGTCCGCACGAAAACGAGAGTGAAGCGACGACCTATTCATCGCTCTGAAACTCGCCGTGGAACGTCATCGTCGTCAGTAGTCCGCGTACGGGAAGCGCCTCCTCAAATCACACCTCTCTCTCTCGCGGTGACGATCTCCGATCCGGCTTTGGTGGTCGCTTCCAACAGGTTCTCAATCGAAATGGAAATCGGGCTGCGGCCGCGGTCACTTCTGGCCGAAGGCCGGTTTCGGGCATGTAGGTCGAACCCTAGGGGAGAGCGCGCCAGCGCATCCGGGTGACGGTAATTGTCTGCGCATCTGTGTACCTGCTCTCTGTCTTCTGCTCGGCTTCATACGCATAACGTCTCGGAGGACCCGTTTTTGGGCAGAGAGCGTTCGTTCTTTTCTGGCGTCCAGTGCTGCTTTGCGACAATTTCGTTGACAACTAGCCCTGTCTGGGCTCAATGGGATGTCGGATCAGCGAACCGTCGGCTGCTAGTCATCCTTGTCCTTTCCTGTTTACTGTTTCGTGTTATTTCCCTCAGCGGCTGTTTCGATTGAAAGTGTTATTAGTGATCTGCTATAGATGGACGTCGATTCTTCGTCGTCTTCGCCCTCGGAGCGGTTGTCGGTTGTGTGTTTTGCTTCAGCCGAGGATAGCTCCAATTCTTCTGAGCATTCACCACACTCGAGAAGGTAAGTGAACCATTCTCTCATTATTTTTTCAATAGCAATTTTGCAGGAATTCTGTCAATGAGAGCGTCTTGAAGGACGAGCAGTACTGGGAACGCCGGCGGAAAAACAATGACGCATCGAAACGTTCCCGAGAAAAGCGAAGAATAGGAGACATGGTAATGCTTTCTTCTGAAGTTTCATTCCTCTGCAGTAGTATCGTGATCAAGCCTCGAAAGCTAAGGACAATAGATCAGCTCAGTTGTTGCAGTACAGGTCTGATGACGCCCCTCTAGGGTTAAGCAGTGGAGGAGGCAGATGCTCCATGGAAATGCAGATGACTTCGCCTAAGGCGTGGTCCCGTTTTAACAAAATGTACATGTTTTGCACGGTATTGAATGCATTGCCATCACGGTGCCCCGTATATTGCGATAGCGGCGATCAACTCTTCATGTCTTACAAAAGTACACTTTTACCCTTCGCAGAACATGAGCAAAGTGGTAACAGGGTTATGCACCTATACAGGGACCTTTATGATCACGAGCGGAGCAACATATTCGAAAACCCTATCTGCCAGAATTCAGTAGGGCAATACTGGAGATTTATGCACCTACTGAAATAATTACAGGCAATGGAACAACGTATACTTGCGCTCTCACAGGAGAATCATCTACTAAAATCTCGCTTGGAGTCCCGTACAGCCGCCGAAAGTCTGCTACAGACCGCTCGGTCGGACTTTCCCGCTCTTCCTCCACAGAGCAGCACGGTAAGTAAAACTATGTAGTAGCATACTCTGGATTTTTGCGCTCATATTAGTTGTTCTGAGGTGTTTATACATAGCGATAGACATGGGTTAGATGAGCATCTTAGGGAGCCGTCGCGAAATACGGGAATTAAGCTCAGGAGAAGGCAGGAAGGTTGGAATAAAATGAAAATTGCTCACACACCTGGATTCTCTCCTCCCTGTTGAAGCTTAGTCCCCATTACCATTGTGACCGATGCGATTCCGAGGAATGAAGATATGCCGAAGAAAGAAGTAGAACTTTCGTAAAAGCAAATGAAGTTAGAGAGATTTTGCTCTTCGCTGGTTAGAAGAGCAGTGCGCGGTAACTGTTGTCCATAAAACCGCATTTGAAGCAGCAAATTGAAGCCTCCCATTTCAGTCATTGTTCACTCATCAATTGCCAACGTCGTCCGTAGGTTTGTCGTCACTAGCTGTTCCTCCACTGCCCACTCTTCATACGACCACCGTCTCCAGTCTTCCATTATCACATGTTCCGTTACTGTCGTCGACTTCTCAGCTACCAATCATGCAACTTTGCCAACTCCAGGCGGCTATTCATCAGCAGGTCAGTCCTTGTATGCCACTTTTCCGGTGCCATTCCTTGCGTTGGTGCAGATGAGAAGCCGGTTGTGCAGCTGTTCGAATCGTCCATAGATGGCGCAAATCGAGGTCATTCGGGCTGCATAAATCGAGCACAAAGCCTGACGCTGTGCTTCTCAATTTCACGCATTTCGTATCGCGACAATTTTTGCCATTTCGCTTATATATAGCCACTCTTGAAAACTATTCGCTGGAATTTTTCAATCCGCATTTTTGAAAGTTTCAAATTACTCCATAATTCTATGAGAGCCTTTTGTGAATTTCTTATGATATGTACTACACTTCTCGGGCCTGAGTTATCCAAAGGCCTCGAATGGGATTTTTGGCACGTTGTTACTACATATTACATATTACTGCCCCAAAATCTCCAAATTTAATTCCTCGTTGAAACTTTACTATGGAAGTACTTCGATGCCCTGATTACGAATATGATGTTCGATTTGACGCTGTGGTGGTATCGTCACTTTGTCATGACGGCTGTTTTCATCAGATTCGGTGTGAGCTTGTGTGTAGGGTTTATTTGCTATCCTGATTACGAATATGACAATCGTTTTCGGAATTGACGTCCAACGCACATTTTCTGCTCGTATGGACTCTCTCACTCAGGTGCAATGCCTAAGGGCAAGCATGCTGGGAAGAGGGGCACCGCGTTGGGTAAACTGCGCATTGTACGGCAAGAGGTGTAGTTTGTGAAATCAGAGGATGGGGCTTGCTCGAATCTGAGCCTACTTTCTTTGAAGGCTTCGTCTCTCTTGCGATCAAAGCAGTGTGAGGGCGCAGAAAAGCAGTGAATAGGCGCCAAATGGCGCCATTGCCATAGGCTAATGTCACATTTATAATCAGGATTCGGAATAACCCCTATACAAGTTTACACCGAATTTAGTGAAAACAGACGTCGTGACAAGGTTGCGTCAACTGCAGTCGAGTGGTGCCAGCAACAAAAATGAACGTGTCATCCGTAATAGGGCATCGAATTACCTCTGTAAGCAAAGCTTCGACGAAAAGCAAGAATATGAGATTTTTTCTTGGAAATTTTCGAAGTATATGCTGCTGAAGATGGTTGAAGGTTATGTAATCAAGCCAGCTTCTATTCAGTACCGCTCCACCCCGTCGTCGTCAGTGTTTTCTGTTGGTTCAGCGTTCCAGCCTTTTCACGCTCACAAGGAGTCGGTAATCATGAAGGCCGAGCGCATCAGTCCGGATTCGAGCAGCGATCGTGTCGATCGCGTAATTCAAAGAGGTGATCTTATCGGCTACCATAAAAACAACTACTCAAGAAGTTAACAGTTTTGTTTCCAATCAGTTCCTTCACCTCAACAACAACAAGAACGTGCTCCCTCTCATTCACTACTAGGCGCTCTACTGGCCACCCGTCGGACGTCGCCAGCAGTGCCACAGAGCAGGACCGAACATAACAGTCGCCTCGGCAGTCCTCCTAGGGTCAGTTGTACTTCATTAGTAGGAATTTACCTGAGTGGTTCATAAATAGGAAACTATCAGATCTACTTCACATTAATTAGCACCAGTCTTTTCAGCTTTCTCCGTCAAAATCCGACTGCGAGTCAATTTCGTCGTCAGCTTCTCTGTCGCCCTCACAATCAAGCGAGGACCATCCAGAGTCGTCGGCGATCAGACGCGCTCTCGACGACAACAGTTCCGATGACAAAAAGGTTGACATATTTTCTGAAATCGGCTTTCTTTGTTATTTGTTTGTGGCTTTACTGCATTCCTAGGAACAGTACATGGATCGACGACGGCGAAATAACGAGGCTGCCAAGCGCTGTCGAGCGAATCGAAGAGCTGTATTCGAGTACAGGAGTCGTCGTGTACAGGTCTGTGATTCTCTGTGCTTCTTGAATGTTGAATTCTGCTCTTAGGACACTCACGTCACCGTTTACCACACCTCTTTACTGGTCTTTTTAAGCTTCTTGAAAACGAGAACGATCACTTAAAAGAGGAGATCGCCAAGCTGAAGAGAGAAGTCGATCAATTCAAGTCGATGCTCACCGCTCAAAACATTATGGACACTCAATAATCGTTTCCGATAATCGATTTATTGATTGATTCGTCGTTGTAGATCGTGACTTTTTCTTCTGCTACTTGTTCACTCTGACTTCTTTCTTTGAATAGTCAGCCTAAGGAGGTTCTTCGGTGTGACCAAATTTTCCCATTGAATAGGTCGCTAGAGAAATGAGTGAGATTTAGTTTATCGCCAGCAGTTAGGTTTCATCCGACCTTCTTGCCTCTTCGTCACTCACTGCAGACAACCTTAGCCGATGATGCAATATATCTAGCGGTTCTAATACCTTACCCAGAGCCATGTTCCCACAAACTCATCCAGGTAGAACGCTGATCTATCTGTTATTACTGCCGCCCTACTAATGTATATGTGCAATGTGCTGTGCTACATGCTTCTCTATAGACTGAAAGCTTTATTACGTCGCTGTTTTGTATTCGTACAATGAAAGATTTCTTATCATAACCCCGCGATCATCGTTGTCACTCAGAAATCAATCATAGGAGGATTTCAAGGTGTTCTCTAGAAGAGCGGTCCGTTCGTCGGGGAGAGAGTTTTTCCCTAGCGTTTTTGCGAATAATCCACCGTAAAAGAGCGATGACCTTGCGTCATGCTGCGCACAAAGAAAACTTCCCATTTACACAAAAAATCTCGAGGTCGAACGAGTGCAGCCACCATCGTCCTTCTGACGGGAGTATTTGTGCATACGGCTGACAATCATCGAGAGCCGGCTATTGTAGTAATCCGCTTCGTATCCCTAGATCCAGAATAAGCTAGCATGGGGATTTAGGCATATTCAGAATCAATCGCCTGCTGGTAGGGTTGAGCGCCAAGCACGTTTACGTTTTGTTCTTTTTCGTATGATGCATATCTTGTATGGGAATGACCCGCTTTAAGCGGACGGAGCTTCAATGTAACTGTTTTACTTCAGACATGTAGCTTTAGGTTCCCACCCCACCGCTGATTGGGTCAAGCTGGCTGTTTTTCCGTCCGTAGGAGAAAGGCGATCGACATTCAATTACCTCTGAGACTCTAAAAAAACGATAGCGCGCTCGCAAGTTTCAAGGAACTTACTCAGGTTTCCATCCCGTACATACACTGCGTCCATATATTACTCCTACACTTGAGAATCTTCAAAATGCCCTCACAAATGTGATTAGGGTTGTCTCATAAGTATGGTTCGCTTTTTTTTCACCAAAAAATACAAACATTGACAAATCGACAACTATCTAACTTTAACTTCCCGTTGGGAGAAGATCATCAATACTGTACCTCTGTACACTCATGACCTCTTCTGATATTACACTATTATGTTTCCTAACAGTCGCGTCATTCATTTCCATACTGATTTTCAATCCAGACCTCGACAGGTCCAGCACCATAACCTGAGGATTCGGAGCGTCGAAATTTTTTTAATCGCCTGAGACATTGAAAAACTTAGACTCTTACTTATCTATGAAGCGCTTCGGTTTGTATCTGTCGTCTCGGCCGTTCTGCCGCCTGTTCGTTCTGTGGTATAGACTGCTGCAAACAAAATTCTCTCGCTTCTAGGGATCCGCCTGCGAGACCGGGTCGTGTGGGAGGGTAGGCAAGGTCTCACGAAGTACAAAACACACATCAGCAAAGCGGAGACCCGCCTACAGTGGGTGTGGCATGCATCGAAATGAACCGTACTGATGACCAAGATTTCAATTTCTGTGACAAAACAACCTCAAAGCTGAGCCAAAGAGTGGATAAAGGTGCGCATTGGTAAGTGACTGCGAATTAGGGAGACCCACCTCAGTGGGCGGGGCGTTCTCCAAAAAAGCAGTGCTTTATGAAAAATATCATAACTCGGTTGGGAGAAAGCCTGCAGAGTAGAAAACAAATTGGTGTAGGGAAGCAATGTCTAGGGTGTTGCCAGCATATATGACGTGGGCGGAGGTCCGCCCACAATGGGTGGAGCGCGCTCTGAAGTATTCGGCGTTTTCTACAAGTCCTCATAATTCGGGATGGAGAAGTCCTAGTCCTAGCCGGAAAAAGGTCGATAGAAGTGGGTGGAGGAGTAGAGGCCAACCGTCATCGGTGGTCGGGGCATGAGCAAAGAGGGCGTAGTGGGTTGCTACGGAAATTCGTAACTCGGTTCCAAGAAGTCCCGGAGGCTGGGGAAAAGGTGGACAGAGGTGGATGCAGGAACCAAAGTGGGTGGAGTTTGCGACGGAAATTCATAACTCGGTTCTATGAACTTTCAGAGACTGGGAAAAAGGTGGATAGAGGTGGATGAAGGAGTGGAGCCTTACTGCCATTAGTGGGCGGAGCACGATCAAACTGGACGAAGTTCACGACGAAAATTCACAACTCGGCTCCAAGAAGTCCCGGAGACCGGGAGAGAAGTAGGCGAAGGAAAGGAGGTGAATTCCTAAGGTGTGCGGAGGATACACCAAAAAAGCAGGTTCCGCCACCAAAAGTATAAGTCGGCTTAGAGACAGTGCAGAGAAGTGGGGAAAGGTTGACGAGGAAGAAAAAGATGGTGGGACATTTATAGAATTGGGCGTTTACCACGAGGTTCTCGGTCCAGAGGCAGTCCGAGACCTGGACAAGCGGACATTTGGTTGACGAAAGGGGGCTTGATGGTGGACAAAGGAGGAGAGGTCAAAAGACCATCGGTGGATGAGGCATAGTACGTTCGGATAGAGTTAGACCTGAAACTCAAATATTCAAAGTGTATTGGGCCAAATTCGAGAATTTACGCTGCACCATCAAATATCGAGGCAGAACTGTGCTGTGCGCGCAACGCGTGCGGCGCCAACTGGTGCCAATTATTTTAATAACTCAGAATTTGTTTTAGATCTATTCCATATGGACATTGGGCGGAATGGACAGCTCCACCGCATCCACTCGCAAACATAATGGAGGCAAACTGGAAAGGCGAAGCTCTTACTGAGGGACGTATTCTTGGAGGAATTTAGTAGGCTCATCAAAAGGAATACCAAATATTGTCAGGGGATAAAGCTTTTCGCTGTAACACCCCACCCAACCTAGACTTTACACCTAGAGTTCGACCCCTCGCTTTTCAATTCATTTTGGCTACCGCTCTGAAATTCGTCACCAGTGCGAATGACTCGAGCAGATATCTTGTGGAGGGAGTGGTCAAAGTATTCAAGAGCCTAGCGGAAATCCAGTCCTAGAGTTATATTGATAGCCGAAGGAATGGAGGAATTCTTGTGTGGTTCAACAGCAACTCGGTTTGCCAATATTTGAAGGTTTTACCACAAGTACCCTAAAAAATCGCTGTGTACAGCTACTCAACTCGAGTGAAACTTCCGACGGACCTTATTTTGTTTGTCTTAAATCGTCACATCGGGCTAGTCTTGCATGACAACCAGGGTCAAGCGAGGCGTTGAGGAAAATTTGGAAATACGACCCCCCCCCCCCTCTCCCGCCA